CGAGGAGGAGGAGGAGGAGGAGGAGAAGGACGAAGAGGAGGAGGAGGAGGCTCCTAGGAGGAGGAGGAGGAGGAGGAGGAGGAGGAGGACGAGGACGAGGACGAGGACGAGGACGGGGACGAGGAGGAGGAAAAGAAGGAGGAGGAGGAGGAGGACGGTTAGAAGAAGGAGGATGAGGAGAAGGTAGGTTGTTTCCCCCTCGAACTCTTCTCTTCCACCTCCTCCTCCCGCCCTCGTCCTCCTCTCCTTCCCCTTCGCGCGCGCTCCCCTCACCTCTTGCGCGCCCGCCACGTGTGGCGTCGTGTGGTACGTGCCGCTCCCCTTCCTCCTGCTCCTCCTCCTGCTCCTGCTCCTGCTCCTGCCCGTCCTCCCCTCCTCCTCCTCCCCCTCCTCATCCTCCTCCTCCTCCTCTTCCTCCTCCTCCTCCTCCTCCTCCCCCTCCTCTCCCCCTCTTCTCCTCGACCTCCCCCTCCGCCATTTTGGCTCGCAATTCGGCTGAACTCAGCCATTTTGGCTTGAGACCGCCAATCGATTGGCGTGCAACTCTGGGTGAGATGCGCGATGCGCGATTACGGCCTTTACACGCGCATCATACACGACATCATGGAGCTGTATAGCACGCAAGATCACGGAGTTAGAATAAGGCCCTGGTGCTAAAAATAAGGGCGGCACTAAAAATAAGAACCTAGGTGCTTATTTCCAGCTGGTCCTAACTTTTAAGGTCTTCCGGCCCCCATGGGGACTCAGTCCTGACAGCTGGCGCTGCTGTCGGGACTCAGCCCCGACAGCACCTCGACGTCGGGACTCACTCCCGACATAGGTCATGCGATGTCGCTGTCAGGGCCAGTCCTGACAGCCGCGAGCGATCGTGATCAACTCGACACGCACGGCGCACAAGCACCTGAACTTAGCTTCGGAATGTGCCACCATCGCGCGTGCAGCACGTGATATACACACTTACATACACCATATGAGCTAAATTCATCGGCGTTGTCACATGCCGCCCACGGTCCATGATCCACTCCTGGACAGCCTTGGGTGAACGCAGCGCGTCCAGGGATCGACATCCAAGTCGATCGTGGTCACCAAATACATGACAGCATCGCTCGTTCGTCTATATCTTGTCCACTCCTCCTTTTTCATCCGTAACCATTTGGGCTCACACATGTTGCATCGAGCCTCGTATCATCATGACGCAACCACCCGTTCTGATCCCGGTGGTGCGCTCTCTGGACGACGCGCAGAGATGGGTTGAACATTGCGTGGCGGTACTCGTTTCAAGATTCCCTTCGCTGTCTTTGCAGGCAATGAGTCGGGCCATGGCCCAAACGACGACATCTACATATTTCAGCGGGACGGGCGGTGCCGAAAATGCATTCAGCGCTCTATCACGTGGGGTTAGCCATTCTGCTGGACTACAATTTCAATATTTCCGCAGTCTGTGGGCGCGCGAGCTCCTCTCGGACTCCAGGACAGAAAACAAGATGCCCAAGCAGCCGCCGGAGCATATGTTCAACGACGTGTGCCATTTCATCAAGCCATCTGTCAGGGGGGTGCTCATTGCACGCGCGCCTACCATGTGCTACGAGGACTTGGAGCGCATCTTCTTCCACTCCGCCAGATCGCCTCTGCAAGTCGAGCAATATCGCAGCATTCATGGCTGTATATGTCGTTGCGAACGGGCGACGTTGCATGTTGCAGGCACGCCGTGTATCGCATGGTCCGCTCTCGGCCTGCACCTCGGCGCATCTGGCTTAACGGCGCTGGCTTTGTTTGCTTGGGTTCGGTGGCGGGTTGATGTGCAGGGGGGCGGTATCCCCCATGAAAACGCTCCAGGTTTCGCTGTTAAGCTCCTCGAGATGTACCCCAGCAAGTTTTACGTCATCCACTCGTGCGTGCTCAAGGCGACGGACCTTGGACAATTGGTGAACAGGGAAAGGCGTCTCACTTGGTTGCAGCACAAACGCGCCGTCATCGACAGCGTGCCGAGCTGTCCAGCGTGGGGCCTGGACTTCGTCGCCTTCTTCCATCGCGTCGTTGAGACCACGTGGCACGCACGTGCCGTGGCCTCCGACTTGGAGCTTGAGGAAGAGATTGCGGCTTGCCGAAATCGCCGCACAGATCGACAAGACCCCGCATACATATTCATCTCGGCCGGCACCCCTTCCACCCATGAATCGGTTCAGGGGTGTCCTGAGCGACTTCGAGCTCCAAAACCTTGACTCGTACCACGGGCTGGTCCGAGACGGCGTGGCCTTCCTCAGGCACTCAGGAAAGTCTTTCCCGAACCACAACGATGGCTCGAATTTTCTCTTGTGCGTCATTGAAAGTTCGGGGATATATTGGAGTGTGCCACATGACAGATGGCTCACAATACGTGAACTTTTGTTGGCACACAACTACAGCGCGCACGATGAGTTCAAATATTTTGGTGAAAATAATTCGTTTTGCCGAAGCCGTGAATCGCATGGCTTCCCGCCGAGATCAAGAACTACGATGAATGAGCAAGTCGGCAATGGCATGAGCTTGGCCATGATGGGAGTTGCGTTTGCGTGGTGGTTCGTGCGCATGCACGACAGAGAAGCTGCACCGAGCCACTCTTTTTTCCGACATCGCCTCGGCCATTCTGGGGAAGCGCGCGCGCACATAGGTGCACATTGCATGCAAATTATCATCGTTGACTGCGTTGTGTCTGTGGCGGCTGTGCAAGACAGCCGCTAATATAGACGCTCATTGAAAATGAGGAGGCGGAGGATGCGCCGAATAATGAGGGGGAGACAGATGAGGGGGGGGGGGGGGGAGGAGGAAAGGAAAGGAAAGGAGGAAGAATGCGGAGGAGGAGGTGGAGGAGGAGGAGGAGGAGAAGAGTAAGAGTAAGAGGGGGAGGAGGATGAGGGGGAGGAGGAGGAGGAGGAGGAGGACAGGAAGAAGAGGAGGGGGATACTCAGGAGGAGGAGAATGAGGAGCACAGCGGCGGAACCCCATATCCACCCCCCCTGGCCGCGCCAGGCCGCTGGGGTCTGGACGTCGCCGGGCCGCTGCGCCAGCTGCCCCGCGCCGCCAACGCCCCGCAGGCCCGCGAATGGGGCGGGGGGGGGCGCTGCGTTTAGCGAGGGCGAGGACAGGGGGGAGGAGGACAGATGAGGAGGAGGAGGAGGAGAGGGAAAGGAGGAGAAGGAGGAGAAGGAGGAGGAAGAGGGGGAGGAGGACGAGGCGGAGGACGAGGAGGAGGGGGTGGAGGAGAAGGAGGAGGGAGAAGGAGGAGGAGGAGGAGGGTGAGGAAGAGGAGGAGGGTGAATACCCACCTGCTGCTGCTGCTGCAAGACTCTCTCCCTCTTCCTTTCCTCCTTTCCCACTCTTCCCCTCTTCTCCTCCTCCCTCTCCTCCTCATCATCATCATCGTCATCCACCTCCTCATCATCGTCGTCCTCCTCCTCCTCATCCTCCTCCGTCCTCCTCCTCGGATCCCCTTTGGGGATCATCCGTTAAAATTGGAAAGATGCAGAGGAGATTAGCATGGCCCCATGCGCAAGGATGACACGCACAAAACACACATCGAGAAGTGTATACAATGTTTCCTCTACGCTCGGTTCCGCCCTCCTCCTCCTCATCAAGTCCGTAACTCGTTTTCTCAAACGTCTGGGAGTCGCCGGCCCACTCACTGTTCAATTTCTTTCTGCGATTGGAGGCTGCTTCTTCACCGTGTAGGACCCGCTCGGCACGCCTTTCGAGAAGTTCAAGAAGGTTGACGAATCGTTGAGAAGCACAGCGCAGGTGTTCGAGGATGAAGATAGGAACGTGGATCATATATGGTGGAGGCTTCACCAGCACAAGCATCGCCTGTTGGCCTCGCAGTCCCGCATCATGGTTCCGTTCCCTCCCTTGGAGCCGCGCGAGGAGATCGAGAGGGTGCAGTGCCAGCAGTGCATTGGCTATCAGATCGAGTGCGCGAACAAGGCCATGCAGAAGATCAAGTCGGCCAAGAGCTTCCTGTCAGACATGTCGTGGGAAATACGTGGGCGCTTCCCATCGCAGCTATCGGTCCCAGAGGGCATGGCGGACTACTACGCGATAGAGGAAGAGCTGGACTGGCATGCCTGGCGTACTCGGAAGTCTGAGCTCTATGAGTATGAGCCGCCACGCAAGGCCCCCCTGGCCCCGCCGCCTTCGCTCGCCAGTGCTTCGGCGTCGTCGTGGCTCACTCGCTCCTGCCAAACCCTTGCCGAGCATCGCGGAGGCTCATGATGAAGGGGGCCACAATGGCTGCAGTGGGCGCCCCTCCGGCCAAAGCTACTTGCCCTTGGCCGCTAGCCCCTCCACCCAGGGTGCGGTTCAACGCGTGACTCACTAGACAGGGCGATAGGATGTAAAACACGTGCCGAGCCGAGCTCAAAAACAATCAAGCAGAAGCTCAAGCGCAGGCATCGTAGGAAGTAGAAGGGCGGATGGAGGAGGAGGGGGGAAGAAAAAGCAACAACGCAACCGAAACAATGAAACAACTAACCAATCTTAGTCGAATAGTTATGGGGTCTGGGCTGGGGTCGTCCGGCCGTGTGGCGTCAAGCGGGCCCAAGGGCTCGATTCGGAGCAGGGGCGCACATCGCCACCGCGCAGCACTCACACGGCACATGCACGAACACAGCACAAACAGCACACACACACATACACGCACCACAGAGGACACCAAGGGAGGGAGATGGAGGAGGCAAGGCGAGCGCTCCAGCATCCCAGTCAGCCCGAGCTCAGAGCTCCTCGAAGTCGCGGGCAGTTTGTGGAGGGCGGTGGGCAATCCACTCCTCCTTCTTCCGCTCCTCCCTCTCTCCACCCTCCGCTCCATTCCTCTCGTCCGCCCCCCTCGTAGCCGTTTTGGCTTTTTGGAGCTTCCAAGTTTTCAGCAACGCACCAAACTTCCCGCGCATCACGCAACCGACGGCACTCGGCTAGCCATGAGCTCGCCAAGCCCATCTGCGATGGAGACCGCCAGTGAATTGGCCGGCCAGGAGATACTCAACGTCCTGAACAATGACCCGACTCGAGCCGTTGCCAAAGACATTTTGTACGGACCTCGTCTCAACAACGAGTATCGCTTCAAGCAAGTGAAAGGCTCGCTGAGGTACCAGCTCTACATCAAACACTACGCGGTGAGCCGCAATCAAGTCGTCTTTCCGTTCGTTAAGCAGACCGAGCAGATGAAGGTCGATGGGGGGCCAGAGCAGCAGATTACTGACGTCGGGGTCCGTGCGCTTTCGAGGCGCCGTCTGAACTCCCGCAAGCAAATGGCCGTCGTGATCAACTACTGCCAGAGCCTCCTGCAAGAGGGCGTGCTGGAGGACACGCGAGGCCGGATGCAGGCGGTGGAAACAGATGCCCCCCACCACTACTCCATGATCGGCGGTGCGACGCTGGCGGGGGCCTTTTACATGGCATGCGAACAAGATCCGAGCAATGAGCACGTGAAGAGGATTATTTCGGAAGGCTTCTCTGGGGTCAACATCTGGATCAAGTCGATGCCGCCAGACTCCATCGAGTGGTTCAAGAACGAAGCCAATCGCTGGCACCGCGGGTCGGCCTTCAACTTGGTGGAGATTCTGATGGAGATGCCGAAGGCGGAGGCGCAATGGGCTGCCCACCGGACGAAGCACGACATTACCGTTAGGAGCTGCCCTTCCTCAGGTGAGTTCCGCTATGAGAAGGTCTACCAGAGGCTCATCAAAGAAAACTTCCCACGGAAATTCAAAAAATGGTTCCAGTGCGATAATACTAAGACGGCGGTCCACATGATGAACGACTGCCCGGCGTTGGACGAGTTCCTCAAGTTCGCAGAAGACGAGTGCGATTTCACCAACTCGAACCTCAACGACGGGATAGTCGCGACCCTGCTCAGGGAGATCTGCGTCATTCTCGACAAGAACTTCAAAGGCTACCTGCAGAAGGATATGCATACCTCTGTCATGGTCGAGCTGGTCAAGTTCACCATTCCGTTGCTGGAGAGGCCCGGTCGCCGTTCGACCCCGTGGATCTTCCGCGAGCCGGGGCGCGAGGATCTTCTCAGGCGCTTGCTCTGCCCGATGGCCAGCCTCAGCAAAGTGCGCCAGAAGTTCGAGGCGGCGTCGAAGAAGAGGAAGGCCCAGACCGAGGACGTCGAGGGGGGGGCGGCTGCGCCCAAAACCAAGGCAAAAGCCAAGGGGAAGGCTAAGGGCAAGGCCAAGGTCAAAGCAAGCCCAGCAATCCTGTGTGCAAATGAGGACTTGAGCCTCAGCAGCGTGCCCGGCCGCGACAGGGTCTTCCTGGATGATTTGGCGGCGCGCGTGGAGTTCCCCCTGAAGTACGTCAGCGCGAACAAGATCGACTGGGCATCCGTGCGCCGTCAGCTGAGCATTGGCCTCGAGTTCTGCTTCGTGGGCACCGCCGCGCTCAACGGCAAGGACGAACATCCCTCCCCGCTCTCCCTCCTCCTCGTCTTGTTATCTCTTCTCTGCCTCCAATCCCTGTCCTCCTGCTCCTCCTCCTTCTCCTCTGCCGCTGCCGCCTCCTCCTCATCCCCCACCTCCTCATCTTCTTTGTCCTCGTCCTTGTCGTCCTTGTGCTCCTCCCCCTCCCCCTCCCCTCCTCGTCCTCCATCCTCCTCTCCTCCTCCTCACCCTATCTCCTCCTCCTCCTCCTCCCCCTCCCCCTCCCTTTCAGGACTTCGCGGCGTGGAGTGCGATGAGGCCAGCCACGCAGCAGGAGATCATCGAAGCCCACGTGGCGGTCTACAGGGAGCAGGCGCCGTCTGCTGTCAGCGACGCTGCATCTTCCTCCGAGGTCGCCGACGCAGTGGTCGCGATGCTCGGGCAAGAGACAGACGTGCCCTCCTCGGTCCCCGATGAGCTCCAGAACGAGAAGGTGGACGCTGTGATTGGAGAGTTCAAGGATCAGTCATTCATCCTGTCACTGAGCAACTTCCTGAACACAAACAATTTGAAGCTTAAGGGTTCGATTCGTCCAGCGTTCGCGTCCATTCAACACGAAGTGGGCAGACGGATTGCTGAGAATGATGGTGCAACTGCCTCACCTAAGCAACTTACTTCGAGGGCCCTTCTCTTCATCGTGTTCGAGGTGGCGTCAGAAGTGTTCCCGAAGCGCACGTTCGAGTTCGTCTGGGGGGTCTGCGAGCTTGCCGCGGCTAACAAGACCACGCCTGTGAACCTACTCTCCTACGGCACCATCGAGGACAGCGACGCCTTGGCGAAGGTCATGTCTCTCAGGGTTTGCTACCTTCGCGAGATCTTGGATGCCATGGCGTCTGGGGCGCACCGCGTGACGGTTGAAGACCGCGGTGCGTGCGTCAAGGAGACCAGCAACCGCATCGCAGACGTCGGAGCTATGGATTGCGCCTTGGGCAGCAGCGAGGGGGAGAAATGGGTCGACAGCCGCGCCAACGTTAACTCGGTCTTCGTGGGCAGCTATTCGGCATCGGACCTCGACAGAGTTCTCCTCCAACACAAGGGCGGCGACTCT